GAAAACATATGAAGGATGCTGCATATTTTGGAAGCTGGAAATAGGTTCAAATAGGTTCAGTATTTTTTGAGGAAGTAGCTGAGTATTTCAGCTGACAGTAGTGGCTGTATGGAGATGATTCTCAGAGGATCTTCTGTAGGTTTGTAATGCTTAAAGGGCTATGGGTCTGGTGTTCTTGGGGCACTGTATGTCCAAACCTGAGTTGATCTTCAAGTTGGAGCATAGACTTGGGCCATGGGGAATAGCAGAGGCCTTGGTCTGGAATCTCCTGTCATCTCTGTGAGAACATACAGTATTATGAGATATTTATAAAAGAAAAAATCATGATACTCCTGTTGACAACCAGATCATCTTCTGAAGCTGATCCACCTTGTCAGCCGTCAAAAGTACACACACCAGAAAGAACTCAGCTGATTCCAGCCTAAATTACTGACCAAATCACGAGTTTATAAATATAGAATAGCTTGTTATCTGGTGTTAGATAATTACTATTCCCATGGTAGGCTGGATGATGGGATTCATTGACTTATTGCTCACTGGCTTTCTGGTAAATAGTGGGTACCTTATTGTTACTGATTTCCTTTTTCTCTTGTTAAAAGTTGCATTTTTTCTTAGATGTGTTACGAAATAAATATATAACTATAGATTTACATGATTTCTGTTTAAACTCTACTTCGCACCATAGAAGGAAACAGACATCTACAGAGTGATCATTAAGATGGTGACACATTAGCAAACTAATGTAGGAATCAGTTATTTACATTTGCAATTTCCCTGCTTGCAGCCCCTTGAGTGTATGAACGCTCTCTTTCTTGGATATAAGTGAGGAGTTTATTAGAAAACTTATTAATACCATAGACAGAGAAGCAAAAGCATGGCACATTCTTTGAAAAGAGAAATTATCTTCCCACCACCACCAAGCATATTATAAGAAGCTGGGCAGTGGTGGTGCACGCCTTTAATCCCAGTACTCCAAAGGCAGAGGCAGGCAGATCTCTATTAGTTTGAGGCCAGCCTGGTGTACAGATTGAGTTCCAGAATAGGCAGAGCTACACAGAGAAACAGTGTCTGAAAAATAAATATATAAATAAATATATAAAAATTTAAAATATAAGGAATTATTTTTCCTCACATCTGCCATATCATATCCTTCTACTATAGCAGAGTCATCCTTTGTTTGCTAGTGATGCCATCTTTTAGTCACGGGAGCTTAGAGTTCCTGACTTGTTTTCTTTATTATGCTATATGTAGTCAATTACAAATATCTCTAGGATCTTTAGATGAGATTTATTGTATTTATTTCCTTTTTGTTTTGTTTTGTTTTCATGGTTTCTGTTATGTTCCTGCCTTTACCCTGATTTAAAATTTAAAAACCTTTGATTTTAGTATTTTCAGATTTGTAACTGGTTCCCTTGTTTCTTTCAATTCTCTTTTTTTATTAAATCATAAGTGATTTTTTTCATGTGCTTGGCTATATCTTATATTTTTAAGAATAGATTTATAACTTTTAAGAACGTCATTTGAGTCCTTAAAATTTAACACATGCCATTTTGTCTTTTTTTTAAAGGTTTTATTTATTTTATGTCAATGTAGGTGCATTACAAATATACAGTGCCCATAGAGACTAGAAGATAGCATTAGATTCCTTGGAACTGGAGTTACATGTGCTGTGAGCCTTCTGATATGTGTGCTGGGAATCAAACTTACAAGAGCAGTAAATACTCTTAACTGCTGTGCCATCTCTCAAACCCCTTGTTCTTACTCTTTTTTCTTTTTTAACTTGTTTTTATTGAGCTGTATATTTTTTACCCCACTCCCCTTCCTTTCTCCCTTCCCCCCTCCCTCCCTCTCCCATGCCTCCCACACTCCCAGTTTACTCAGTAGATCTTGTATTCCCCTTGCTAAGCAGGTCCGTATGTGTCTCTCTTAGGGTCCTCTTTGTTACCCTGAGATTGTGGACTATAGGCTGGTTGTCCTTTCCATTATGTCTAATATTCACTTAAGAGTGAGTATATATTATATTTGTCTTTCTGGGTCTGGGTTACCTCACTCAGGATGTTTTTTTTTTTTTTTTTTTTTTTTTGGTCCATTTGCCTGCAAATTTCAAGTTGTCATTTTTTTCTTTTTTCTTTTTTTTTTAAACCAGCTCCATGTTCTTTAATGTCACTTACAATATATTTATGGAATACCGGCTGAAGCAGTAAAATATTAGTAAATAAGACTGCTTCCATAGTAGATTCTCAGTAAAAGACAAAAGGGATAGAATGATGAATAAGACAGTTTCTGCTTTTTAGAGCTTGTATGGTTCCCAGGAGAGGAGTAGATAATAACTAAATTTAAAATACTGTTGTTAGCAGCCAATACTTTGAAAAATAATGAATAAGAGATTAAATAAGAAGGTAGATGTCTCTGAGAGTATTGATCTTTGAGTATTAATGGGAGATGTCATTCTGTAAATATGTTTCTCTTATTAGTTAATGAATAAAGCACTGTTGGCCAATAGGAAAGCAAGATAGGTGGGACTAGGAGACAAGGAGGAAAGAGGAAGTAGTAGGAAGGAGTCAAGATGTAGAGACTGGAGAGAACAGCGGTCCGGGCTCTCTCTCTGGTTAAGATGAGGCTACATGGAAATATTTAGATTAATAGAAATGGGTTAATATTTAAGACAGGTCTAGCCGCTAAGAAACTAGTAACAGGCCAACAGAATTATATCCATATAGCATCTCCGTGTGTTATTTGGGGCCGGTGTGGCTGTGGGACCTGATCAGTGGGGGAAAAACAACTCATAACAGTGTACAAAGCTAAATGAAATGAAGTAGGAGGATAATATGAAAATCAGAGAGAACATTCAAGAGGGATAAAATACTAAACATTAATGCCCTGAGGTTAAAGCCAGGTGTGGTGGCCTAGGCCTTTAATTCCAGCACTGAAAGACAAGCAAATCTCTGTGAGTTCCAGCTCAGCCAGGGCTATACAGAAACTTTTTCAAAAAAAGTCAAAATAAATAAATGAGTAGGTAAATAAATAATAAAGTTCTGAGGTTAGGTATGTGCATTGGTTCAAGTAATAAAGCCAGCATGTTTAGAGTAGACTGGCAAGGAATAAAGGACAAGATAAGGCCTTCCATGTAAACCATCTTAGAGATTAACTCTGAACGTAGAGGAAAGCCATTAGCGAGATTTTAGTGGAAGATAGGAATGATGTGGGGGGTATGAGTTTTTAAAAATTAATATGTTTATTTAGTGTGTATAGTTAGTGTCTATGTAGGTAGACAAAGGCATGCCTTGGAGGTCAGAGGACAACTTTGCTTCTGTCCTACCATGTGGGTCTGGGGAAATGAACTCAGGATGTAAGGCTGTTAGGCTTAGCAGCAAGTGCTTTTACCTGTTGAACTATCTCATTTGCCTATGACTTTTTTATATATATATTTATTTATTTGCCAGGAGGTGGTGGCACATGCCTTTAATCTCAGCACTCGGGAGGCAGAGGCATGCAGATCTTTGTTAATTCGAGGCCAGCCTTCTCTACAGATTGAATTCCAGGACAACCAGAGCTGTTAACATAGTGAAACCCTGTCTCGAAAAACAAATAGCAACAACAATAATAATAACAACTTATTTTATGTGCTTTGGTGTTGTGCCTGCATATATGTCTGTGTGAGGGTATCTGATCCCCTGTAAGGGTAGTTACAGACAGTTGTGAGCTGCCATGTGGAAGAACAGCCAGTGCTTTTAACCACTAAGCTATCTCTCCATCCCTCCTCTCCTTCTTTTAAAGGGGGAAAAAAATAAGCCAAATGTGGCACCTCATGCACATATGGAGATCAGTGGGAATAGGAGACTAAGGCAGAAAGATTACAAGTTCAAGGCCAGCTTGTCTATATAACAAGACCTTTTTCTGAAAATAAATACATAAATATCAACAACATACTGATGGGGACAAAGTATATGAAGGATAAAAGTATTTGTCTTTATGGTTGTTGATGTAAATATGTTCAGAAGACTAGTGACAAACCAAATCTGACAAACATTAAAAGGATTGTATGTCAAATGTGATTAATTCTAGAAATGCAAGTGTAAGTCAGCATATGAAAATAAATTAATGTGCTTTAATAGTATCAGGGAAAAAAACATAGTCATACAGATTGACTTTTAAAAAGCATTTGCGAGAGTTGGGGGTACAGTTCAGTGGTAGAATATATGCTTGTCTAAAACGCTGGGTTTATTTTCCTTTATCTTGGTTTTTAATACATGACTACATGTGGTCTTTTGTCTCTGTGTATGTCTGTGTGTGCACATTTGTTTGGAGGCCAGAAGACAACCTTGGTGTCTGCCATATATTAGCCTGCCTCTGGTTCCTGAGTGTTCGGATTAAAGGCATGTACCACAATGCTGACAGCTGGGGGCTTTAAAACAAAATATTTGAGACTGTCTCTTAACACAGGCTGGTCTTGAATTTAATATATAGACCAAGCAGGCCCTTTATTCATGATCTACTAGCCTCAGCCCACTGAGTCCTAGCTTGGCTTTTCAAAAATTTTGATGATTCAGATGTTCTATTCTTCTCTCAACCTTTCCCACCCACATCTCTTTGTAACATGTTCCAGTGTTTAAATCTCTTTACTTTAGAAATTTGGGACCTGGAGAGATGGCTCAGCAGTTAAAAACACTAGCTCTTCTTCCAGGGGACCCAGGTTTGATTCCTAGCACCCACGTGGAGGCTAAAAGCTGTCTGTAACTCCAGTTCTAGGGAATTCAGTGTCCTCTCATTCTCTGAGGACATCAGATACACACAAGTGCACAGGTATACATGCAGGTAGAACACTCATGTACATAAAAGAAAAATTTGGAGAGCTTTTCATGGGTTACTTTCATTGTCTTTTTTTGTAATAATACTTTTATGTATAATAGTATGTGATACAAATATAATAGGCTTGTTGTAAGCTTATTATAAAATGCATGGATAATGAAGTGTACTTTTTTGTGTTTCTTTTCATTTAGCTCCTGGGCTATAGTGAAAAGCCAATAAATCTACAGATGTTTATTGGAACAGCCGATGATCGGTATTTACGACCTCATGCATTTTACCAGGTGCATCGTATTACTGGAAAGACAGTTGCTACTGCAAGTCAAGAGATAATAATTGCCAGCACAAAAGTTCTGGAAATTCCACTTCTACCTGAAAATAATATGTCAGCCAGGTATCTTTGTTTTTTGTTCGTTTGTTTCTTTTTTTCTGGGTCAGGGTCTCATTGTAGACCATGCTGGCCTCATATTCAGAGAGATCCATCTGTTTCTCTATCCAGGTATCTTAAAACCTTTGTTAAAATGAGCAGTGAGCTAGCTGAGCAGTTAAAATCCTGTATTATTTCAAAGAACTAGGGTTATGGTCTGAGCACCCACAGCAGGTGGCTGACAACTGCCTGTAATCCTAGCTCCAGGGATATCCTATGCCCAGGGCCTTCACAAGAACCTGCACTCATGAGCTTGCATGCACATCTACCTACCCACCCACACACACAATTAAGACAAATAATGTTTTTTAAAACTTTATTTTTAAAAAAGTCAGGTTTCTTTTCTTGAAACAATTCTCAAAAAAATACATGGTTTGTTTGGTTTGGGTTTTTAATTAACTATAAAATACTTATTGTTTTAAGCTAACTTACCAGTGTTATATAATTCTGGAAAGTTTATTCAGGAGGGCAGTAGGTTTCATAATTTCTGAAAGAAAGTTGCTGACTTCTGCCTATATTCCCAGAATTTGGGATGTAGAAGTAACCCTTGAGTACATAGAGAGTTAGAGGCCAGCCTGATCTATGTAAGACTCTGACTCAAAAACTAAGTACAATAGCCAGGCATGGTAGCTCATGCTTTTAAAAGTCTCAGCACTCAGAATCAAAGATAGATGGATCTCTGTGAGTTTGAGGCCAGTCAACATTTCCAGTTCTAAGCCAGCCAAGACTACACATTGAGACAACCTCAAAAACAGACAACCTATGAGTAAACAACAACAAAAATACAGAAAAAGGTACTTTAAATATATGGTGCTGGTATCTGTTTTCTTATCTACTCATAACGTCTTCCTGTCTTAAAAATAGGATGAATGTGAATGTTAGTGTTACACCCTGACTGCGAACAGGTTAATTTGTTAGTATATACATGTAATCCTAGCACTTAGAAGTCTAAGTCAGGACAGCTTTGAGTTTGAGGTCATTTAGGCTACAAAGTGAGACCCTATCTCAAAAAACAAAAATAAGTAAGAGGTCATTTCAAACATAATTTAATATGTATTTTCATTGCTAAATATGAGTTTTTCTTTATGAATCATACATATGGGACTGGAGGGATGGCTCAGGGGTTAAGAGCACTGACTACACTTACAGAGGACCTGAGTTCAATTCCCAGCACCCACATGGCAGCTCACACCTGTCTGTAACTCCAGTTTCAGGAGCCCTGACGTCCATGGCAAAAACACCAATGTACATAAATATATATATATATATATATATATGTATATATATATATATATAAAGAGAATAAAAGTAAAGCATTTTAAGAAAAAGAAGTATCATATACATTTTGCTTTTTTTATATCACTTTTTAAAATTTAAACATTTTTTCAGATTTATTTTGTGTCTGGATATTTTGCCTATATGGATATCTGTCTACCATATACCTGCCTGGTACCTAAGGCAGTTAAAAGAGGGGCTCAGATTTTCTGTAGTTAAAGAGTTACAGATGATTGTGAGCTGCCATGTGGTTGTTGGAAATTGAACTTGGGTCCTCTAGAAGAGCAGTCAGTGCTCTTAATTGCTGAGCCATCCTCCAGTCCAGAATTTTAATTTTAATATATTTATTAAAAAATATTTTTAGATCTCTGATTTCAAGGCCAGCCTGATCCACAAAGCTAGTTCCAGGACAGCTAGGGCTATTACATAAAGAAACCCTATCTTGGAAAACCAAAGTGTGTGTGTATATGTGTTTGTGTGTGTTTGTGTTTATTTTAAACCGGGCTTAGTGATGAGCTCCTTTAATCCCAGCAGAGGCAGGCAGATCTCTGTGTGAGTCAAGGCCAGCCTGGTCTACAAATCAAGGACAGAGAGCTATTATACAGAGAAACCTTGTCTTGGGAGTGAGCACTTTTTAAGATTTATCTATTTTATTTTATGTGTATGAGTGGTTTGTTCAAATGAATATCTGTGTCTTGTGTGTTCTGGATGTGATGTTATGGACTGTTGTGACCTTGTGGAAGCTGGGACTCATGCCCGAGTCTTCTGTAAGAACAAGTACTCCACGTCTCCAACCTACTATTATTTATTTCATTTTATTTTCTTATATGTGTGTGTGAGCTGAGTATATGTATGTGCCCCATGTGTATGCAATTCCCAAGGAGGTCAGAAGACAGTGTCAGACCCTTTGGAACTGCCTGGCTAGGTACTAGGAGCCAAACTTGAATCCTCTGCATGAGCAGTAAACCCTCTTAACTGCTGAGCCATCTTTACAGTGCCTTACTTTGTTGGTGTATAGGCTCAGGTTGGCCTTGAATTTAGGGTATTCCTCATGCTTCAATCTTCCAAGTATTGGGATTATAGGCATGTGCTATCACAATCACCTCAAATATTTGTTTGTGACCAGATTTAGGGTACAGAGTTCTTAATGGAAAATTTTAGTTGTTTGATTTTTGAGATAAGAGTCTCTTGTAGCCTGTTTTGGTCTTGAACTCACTATGTAGCTGAGGCTGAACTATATAACTCTTGATCCTTCTGCTTTTCTTCCTCTCAAATGCTGGAATTATAGGTGTACATAACCTGGCAAATTGACAGTGCATAACTATGCAGTTGAGTTGTTCAGAACCAATTTCTGAATATGAAATTAAAAATGTTTTTTTTTTTCTAGTATTGACTGTGCAGGTATTTTGAAACTCCGAAATTCAGATATAGAACTTCGAAAAGGAGAAACTGATATTGGCAGAAAGAATACTAGAGTACGACTTGTATTTCGTGTGCACATCCCACAGCCCAGTGGAAAAGTTCTTTCTCTGCAGATAGCATCTATTCCTATTGAGTGCTGTAAGTGAGCTTGCAATATGCTAAGATTTTAATGTAAGTTTTGTATGTTTTGATTAAAATGGGATACATATTAAAAATACAAACTGAGGTATTATTTCTGAGTTACTGGGTTTTTTTCTGACATGAAAATAAGCTAACAAGATGAGAAGAGTACTAATTTTATGTTAGAAAATGTCTTCTCACTATAGTTTCATTCTTTTCTTCTCTGCCTCCCTCTCTTTCTTGTCTCCTACCCCAAGTCTGTGTGTTGGGATCAGTATAGGTTTGTGTCATCTTGTCCAGCTGTCTTACTTAGGGTTTTCATTGCTGTGAGGAGGCACCATGACCATGGCAACTATAAAAGGAGGTTTAGTGTATTATCATGACAGGGAGCATGGTGGCATGCAGGCAGATATGGTGGTGGCTACATCTTGGCTTACAGGCAACAGGAAGTCGGCTGACAGTCACACTGAGGGAAGCTTGAGTAAAAGAGACCTCAAAGCCTACTCCCATAGTGACATACTTCTTTCAACAAGGCCACACCCACACCAACAAAGCCACACCTCTTATTAGTGCCTCTCCCTATGAGATTGTGGGGCCAATTACATTCAAACCACCACACTAGCTATAAATGAAAAACATCTGAGGATCCTGTCATGAAGTTGTGATCTTGATGCTTTTAGTTGTCACTTGATTATCTTTGTTTTACTTAAATGTTAGCCTTCATATAATAGCATCCTGTTTTGCATGCTTATTCCTCGGCTGAATATGATTTAATGATTTTGGTTGGGGAGTTTTTTTTTTTAATTACTATAAATTTAATTACTATAAAATTATTACAACATCAAAATCGCCTCCAATTTACAAACATAAGATTTGAGAAAAGGTCCTAGAACTTGCCTTGTGTTCAAGCCTGGTAGGTCTCAGAAGGTTAGCTGGTGTGACTGAATAATTGAGAATGATGTAAACATATATAGTGGAAGATATCCCATGTATTATTCATACAAGTTTATTTGTCTGTTGATGAACTTGTGCTTAGAACACAAGTTTTACTAATATTTGTAGTTGCTGCTAAGGTTTTATTTCTGTTACATATACATACACATATAACTTTTTATTTTAGATTTATTTTATGTATATGTTTTGCTTGCATGTGTATATGTATCCCACATGTGCCTGGAGAGGTCAGGAGGGGATGTCAGATCCACAGGAACGGTTACGAATAGTTATGAACCATCATGTGGGTAGTGGGAATTGAACTCTAATTTTCTGAAAGAGCAACTTGTGCTCTTTTCTTTCCTTTCCTTTTTTGTTTGTGTTTTGTTTATAGCTTTGGCTGGTCTGAAGCTTACTGTGTAGATTAGGCTAACCTTGAACTCACAGAGATTCACCTGCTTCTGCCTCTCAACTGCTGAGATTAAAGGCATTCATCACCACGTTCGACTCATAAATAGTTAACCACTGAGCCAACTCAAAAGTCCCTGGGTTTAATTTTGGAAAAAGGAAAGGAAAATTTATTATATTCTAATATTAATACATACATGCATATATTAAAATAATAGCTTAGCAGTTCAGAACAGGAAGTAGCAAGAGTGGATCAAAAAGCACTTCATGAAACTTGATAGTTAAGTAAGACTATGCATTTAAGATCAGACTTTGTCCCTCAAACCCTGTTGAGATAGCAAAATGTAGTCATTGCAGAAACACGGTTGCTTGTAGACGTTAAATAGTAAAATGTATGTTTCTTTTATGCTTTGGTTATTTATTTTAAAAATTGTCCACCATGTAAGTCTAATGTGATATTGATTGAGTATTCTAAGGAAAGGGTTGTTTGTCTTTTAGTAGTTATTTATATACTTCTTTTAATTGTTCATAGTTTAATTACATAGTTTTGGACTTGATTTTTGTAATTAGGTTTGTAAATTTTTTAACAGGTCTGTGAAAGACTTATAATCAAGAAGCTAAATTCAAAATAAAATATTAGGTAAATGTATGGGAGCCAATATGAAGTTAAACTTTATGGTTTTTTTTTTTTTTTTTTTGCAGTTGTAGCCTAAGAAATAATTTCATACCAATTCAGTATAACTCTCTTGTTTCTAAACACGTTAGCTCTTTTATTACTATTGTCTTGAATTTTAAAAGCCTAAGTAAATTAGTCCCAATGTTTATTTCGTAGTTTGAGCTCATCTTGTATGTGTGAAATATTTTAAAATAATGTTTTGGTTTTTTTTTTAACTTTTAAAATAGCTCAGCGATCTGCTCAAGAGCTCCCTCATATTGAGAAGTACAGTATCAACAGTTGCTCTGTCAATGGAGGCCATGAAATGATTGTGACTGGATCTAATTTTCTCCCAGAATCCAAAATAATTTTTCTTGAGAAAGGACAAGGTAAATAATATAAGATACAAATTAACTTCAGTCTAAGTGGTGAAAGGATGAAATAAATTACGTAGATATTTCAGTTATATAAAACACCAAATAGTTTTCCTAAAGCTCTAGATATCACCTAAGTACTGGGTATAATTGGGAACTTAGAGTTAATAAATTTACATATAAATGTTAAATTCTCTTTAATGGCATATTAAAAATAGAATTCATCCAGCATTTCCACTCCTTGATAAATTCTCAGGAAACCTTTGAACATGCCCACACAAAAGCTGAGGGTACAAATGTTTATGACAGAATTGTTCATAATAGCTCCAAAACGCAAAGAATTAAATCCTTGCCAACTGATGAACAGATAAAAATAACGTACTATATCCACACTGTCCTAATTTCATCTCTGTTGCTGTGATAAAATACTGACATTAGGTGACAAAGGAGTTTTTGGTTATAATTCCTGGCTCCACTCTTCTGGTTGGAAATAAAGGCAGGAACTTGAAGCAGCTAGTCACATCCACAGTTCATGACAATACCTCACTGGCTTCCCCCGGGCCAACTTGATCTAGATAATCCCTTCTTGAGACTCTTCCATAGGTGATTCTAGAATATGTCAAGTTGACAATTAAAATTAGTCATCTTCAGGCAATAATGATGCACACCTTTAATCCCAGCACTTGCAAGGGGGAGGCAGGCAGATTTATGTAAGTTCAAGGCCAGCCTGAATTGCAAAAGTGAATTCCAGGACAGCCAGGACTATACAGAGAACCCCTGTCAACAAAAACAAAAATAAATAAAAATAAGAATGAAGTACTACTGATGCATGTTATAACATTGAAGATATTAAGAGAAGCCATCACAGAATACATAGAATAAGCAATTCATAAAGATAAGGAAGTAGATTTAGTGTATTGCAGTTGTTTGAAATTATTATAAGTAACTAGGATGATAAAAGATAAAATGGTCTGAAATTAGTAGTTGGTTGTACAATTCTAAATATCCTAAGATGCATACTTTAAAGGGATGACATTAGCCAGTTATTGTCAAAATATCACTTTTTGTTGTTTTGTTGATAGGTAGTCCTGGCTGTCCTGGAACTCACTTGTAGACCCAGGCTGGTTTTGAACTTTGAGATCTGCCTGCCTCTGGCTCCCAGGTGCAAAGATGTGTGCCACCATACCTGGCTTTGAAAAAAAGAAATCTAGAACAGGAACAACAGAAAAACAAAAATATAATTAAGGTTACTGACTTGCCTCTTGTTTCCCTTTTTTCCCCTTTCAAACAGATCCCTCACCTAATTAACCCTTTGGTTTATTTGTCTGGGTTTTTGCTTTTGTTTGAGACTAAGTCTCATACAGTCCAGGCTGAACTTAAGTTCTTTGTGTTTTTGTTTTATTTTTTTAAGACTTGGTTTCTCTGTGTAGCTCTGGCTGTCCTGGAACTCACTTTGTAATCCAGGCTGGCCTCAACTCAGAGATCCACCTGGCACTGTCCTCTTCTCCCCTTTTCCCCATCTCTCAGTCTCCCCCTTTCTCCCTCTCTCCCTCCCCACTTTGGAACCTAGAACTCAATCCAAAGACCTAGCTGGACTTGAACTCACAGAGATCCATGTGCCTCTGTCTTGAGTGCTGGGAGTAAAGGCATGTGCCACCACTGCCTGCCTTTTTTTTTTTTTTTTTTTTTTTTTTTTTGTAAACAGACATCTGTGTGGAAAAATATTCTCTCTACCAATAATTTCTGATACTACATATGTTAGATTTTCTGTTTTCAAACTTGAATTGCTTTTAACTATAAATTTTTTCTTTCACTAGATGGAAGACCTCATTGGGAGGCTGAAGGAAAAATAATCAGGGAAAAATGTCAAGGGGTAAGAAAGTCACCTTAAGTTTTTAATTAGTAAGAAATACTTCAGTTTGAGTAGAGAAATGGATCAGTGGTTAAGGTTACTTGTTGCCGAGGACCTGAGTTCAGTTCCTAGTACTCAACATCTGTAACTCCATTTCCAGGGAATTACAATCTCCTCTTCTGATCTCCTCAGATACATACATATAGACAAAAGCTTATGCACATAAAATAAAATAAATGAATCTGAAAGAACATTTTTATAGAAAAAGAGGTAATATTTAAGGCCAGGCATGCTGAAATGTCTTTAATCCCAGAATTTGGGAGGCAGAAGTAGGTATATGTCTGTGAGTTGAAGGCCAGCCTAATCCTTGTGAGTCCCTAACCCCCTAAAAAAGAAAAAAGTGTTTAAGAAACTTGAGAGAAAATTGAATAATGTAGCTTTATGATATGGGAAAGAATATTGAGAATAAAGAAAGTAAGTTAGAATTTTGAGAAATTTCAAAGTGTGATACTTTTCTGATATTTGGATTAAAGTTTAAGAAAAATAAACAAACATGGTGGTAGTGACACATGCCTTTAATTCCAGCACTTGGGAGGCAAAGGCAGGCTAGATGTGATACTAGCTTGTAACTGCAGCACTCAAGAGGCAGACCAGGAAATCCAAGTTTAAATGACAAATTCAAGGCTAATATAACATGTTCCTCCCGGCCCCCCAAAGTGACTGATCTGGCTAATTATATATCAACTTGATGTTAGCTACAGCCACTGAAGAAGAGGGAGCTTCAATTGATGCTTCCATGAAATAAGGCTGCAGGCAAGCCTGTAGGGCATTTTCTTATTAGTGATTGATGTGGTAGGGCCCTATTCATTGTGGGTGGGGCCACCCCTAGGCTGGTGGTCCTGGGTTCTAGAAGAAAGCAGGCTGAGCAAACCATGATGAGCTAGCCAGTAAGCAGTACCCACCCTTCTGTGGCTTCTGCTTCAGTTCCTGCCTCTAGGTTCCTGCCCTGTCTGAGTTTCTGTCCTGGCTTTCTTCCATGATGACAGTAATATGAAAGGATAAGCCAAATAAACTCTTTCTTCCCTAAGTTTAGTTATGATGTTTCATGATAGCATTATTAGCCCTAATAGTACAGTTAAAATACTTCTTTTTGTGTAGTTACTGCCCATTTCTTTAAAAATACCAACTTTACTTCATTTAAAAAAAATCAAAACAAACATGTATGGTGGGAGAAAACACTAATGATTTGTTATTAAACACACTCTCTAACCCACAGCTGCTTATTAAGCCTCTCAGACCCCTTCCTGAAAGAAGCTGTGATCTTGTACCTGTATTAGCCTAGAGATAGTCTTTTCCAGGCAAGAAAAGACTACTTTCATAATGCTTCCTAAATACGTGGAATGGTTAGGTTGATTATTAGATTTGATTTTGGATAAAGGTTTTCACTTTGTTGTTTTATATACTCCCAACTTAGCTGTTTTGAATATAAAACTCATTCTAAGAAATCTAACCCAGGGGCTGGAGAGATGGATCAACAGTTAAGAGCACTTGTTCTTGCAGAGCCATCTGAGTTTGGTCCCAGTATGCACGTGGTGACCAAGAACCTCTTATAACTCCACTTACAGAGAATCCAACATCTTCCAACCTTATTGGGTACTACATACATAAGCACAAAACATGCTTGTAAGACAGATACTCATTTAAAATAAAAAACTATAACAAATTGAGAAATGTTAAACACGATAATATACTAAAATGGGCCTTCCATATATATATATATATATATATATATATATATATATATATATGAATGTTCAGTACATATTTCAGTACATAGTATGTAATGAGATAATATCTATTTATTTTAAAAGGTCTTACAATATAGCTCAGGCTGGCCTTGAATTTGTGATCTGCCTCTACCTCCCGAGTGCTAGGGTAACAATATGCATCATCATGCCTAAAAACTCTTTATTTTTGCTACAACTAGAAAGGCAATTGGGCAGGTAAAATTAATTTCTTCTTCATTGATTAAAGATTTTGTTTCCATCAACAAGGTACTAGCATAAATAAATCTCAAAATGACTTATGTGACTAATTGATATGCATAATTTTCTATGATGGATTCTTTTGTATAAGAGTAAAGTTTCATGAGTTGCTTTGAATTTGGCAGGTGCATTTCATTTTTAGTTCTGAGCATAACACAACTTGCTTTCCTTGTTCCTTAGGCTCACATTGTCCTTGAAGTTCCTCCCTATCATAACCCAGCAGTTACAGCTGCAGTGCAGGTGCACTTTTATCTTTGCAATGGCAAGAGGAAAAAAAGCCAGTCTCAACGTTTTACTTACACACCAGGTACAAGAAGTTGTGATGGTTTAGAGTTTTCTTTCATAATAAGAATCTTGCATAAAATGTCTGATGTAATGTAATGTCAACATGTTCTCCCCACCCCCACCCCCTTTGTTGTTTTTCCAGACGGTTTCTTTGTGTAGTCCCGGCTGTCCTGGAACTCACTCTGTATATCATTCCAGCCTCAAACTCACAGAGATCCACCTGCTTCTGCCTCCCAAGTGCTGGGATTAAAGGTGTGTGTTATCATTGCCCATTAGAATTTGTATTGACTTTAAATATTAGGATTAAGAGATGAATATAGATTTGAACTCTTCAGAAGTTCTCAGAAATCGACAACACTGTAAGAAAGGAAAGTGTGTACTCTTGGTTCATGAACTTCCAATGTGCTTTTAACACCAAATAAAGGTAGTATGTCCACTTCATGGTGTCTTCATTATTTTTTCTGAGACAGGGTTTCTTTGTTATGTAGTCCTGACTATCCTAGAACTCCTTCCTTATGTAGCTCTGACTGTTCTAGAACTCCTCAAACTTAGAGATCCATCTGCCTCTGCCTCCCAAGTGCTGAGATTAAAGATATGCACCACCATGCACCGACTTTTATTGCATTTTCATTTGATAAGTAATAATTGTACCTGTCTGTGAGCTGTAGAAGATATAAAGTTAAAATTGATGTCAGAGTTCTTGATTTTATGTGTTTCCCACTAACCAAGGATGTATCCATACCTCTTTTTGCAGCAGTTAAAAATGATTTAATTTTCCAGAGTTTTCTTGTTTGTTTTGTTTTGTTTTATTGAGACAGGGTTTCTCTGTGTAATGGCTCTGGTTGTCCTGGAACTCAATTTGTAGACCAGGCTGACCTCGAACTCACAGAGATGGACCAGCACCACTCAGCTTCAGGTTTTTATTAGGGCATAGCTGTTACATTTAGTAATATATACTAATGGCTACATTAAAAAACAAATATCTAGAAGAAATTGAATTAATAAAAAAGAACAAATATTTATAGAGGTCTTTTATGTGATAGGCATTGTGCTTGTCACCAAGGTATAGAATAATAATAATTTTTTTAAGAAATTGTAGGGACTGGAGAGATGGCTCAGAGGTTAAGATCTCTGACTGGTCTTCCAAAGGTTCTGAGTTCAATTCCCAGCAACCACATGGTAGCTAACAATGATCTGCATTGAGATCTGGTGCCCTGTTCTGGTGTGCAAGCATACATGTAAGCAAAATACTATATAAATAAAATTGTAGCCAGGTGCTCACCCTTAATCCCAGCAGAGGCAGTTCTACAGAGGAAGTTCTAGGAAAGCCAAAGCTATGCAGAGAAACCTTGTCTCGAAAAAACAAAACAAAAAAATTATAATGAGCCTTCCTCTTCAAGATTTTACTCTTTCAAAAACTTGTTTAAATTTAATCTAAATTTTTATCTTACATGTATGGGTGTTTTGGCCGCATGGATGTCTGTGTACCACATACTTGCCCAGTATTGATGGAGGCTACAGAGGGTCTCAGATCTCCTGAAACTGGAGTTACAGATAGTTGAATCCCATGCTAGTGGTAGGAATTGAACCCCAGTTCCTCTGTAAGAGCAACTAGCCATCTCTCTAGCTCCTCTTGCAACAACTTTTACCTTGTATATACTAAGTGAATAGATTAGGTGCTGGTTGTTTGTCTGTCTAGAAGGGTTTTCTTCTTCATCTCCTCCTCCTTTTGTGCTTGTTGTTTGTCTGTTTAGAAGGGTTTTCTTTTTATTTTTTGTTTGTTTGTTTTTTGAGGCAGGTTGAGTCTTACTCTGTGACTGGCCTAGGATTCCATCTGTGGCCCAGCCTAAAACTCTTGGCAATCCTCCTGTCTCATTTTCCTGGGTGCTAGAATAACAGGTATATGCCACCACATAATACTGATTATTATTAAGGGTTATTAATTTGAAATCTATGTCAGACTGGCTATATTTCATTTATAGTCTATAAAAACTTACTATGTTTTCAAATCTTACTCATACAAAGCTCTTGTGGTTAATGAGATCATAGAAAATTGTTGTTGTTTTGTTTTTTGAGACAAGGTTTCTTCTGTATTGCTTTGGAGCCTGTCCTGGAACTAGCTCTGTTCCTATGGGCTCCTGACATATAAATCTAACCGTTCACAGTTATGAATTAAAAAACAAACAAAAAAACCCTACTAAACAACTCATCGACACAGAATGGCCTCGAACTTGCTGTGTACCCCAAGCATGCTTCTTGAAGCTCATCTTCCTGCCTCTGTCTCCAAAGTGCTTGAGTTAATTACAGAGAGTTCCAGGTGGTTCTGGAGATTGAACTCAGGACTAGGCAAAAATTCTACTACTGAGCTACATCCCAAGCCCTGAAAATGTCACACTCCTGTTACATATTACATCTTATTTTGGTTGTAAGCCTAGCCCTTAACGGCTGAGCCATCTTTCCAGCCCCATATTACATCTTATAAGTCTCCTAAAATTCTGTGATCCTAGCTGGGCATTGGTGGCTCACACCTTTAGTCCCAGTACTTGGGAGGCAGAGGCAGGCAGATCTTTGTGAGTTTGATGCCAGCCTGGTGTACAGTTCCAGGGCAGCCAGAGCTACATAGTGAGACCCATTCTTAAAGCAAAATAAATGAATATCAACTTTCTGAGGAAGGTGAAAAGAAATAAGATTTTAAAATATATAGGTTAATGCCAGCCATGATGACACATCTTAATACTCAGGTAAGATGAGCAAGAAGATCATAAATTCCATCCTGGGCTATGTAATGAGACCATGTCTCAAAAAAAACTATAGAGGTAGGAATGGACTGAAGGGGATAATTCTGATTCCATACTCATGAATTTATAGACCCTAATTCTCCCTGTTGTGTTAGGATATGTTTTTGTTATAGTTTTTTTTTTTTTTTTTTTTTTTTTGTTTTGTTTTGTTTTGTTTTGTAGTTACTACAGTTGTTTGTTTTTTTTTTTTTGAGAGAGGATCTTACTGTGTATCCCTGGCTGGCCTGAAATTAGCTGTGTAGACCACGCTGGTCTTGACCTCGTGGAGATCTGTCTGTCTCGGTTTCTGCTTCTGCTTCTGCTTCCTGAGTGTTGAGATTAAACATATACATCTCCATGCCTAGCTGTGTAACTTCCTGATGCTGCACTCAGATGTTATCAAGTACTGTTGTGATGAAACTCATCTCTGTCCTGAATGAGGAAGAATGCTTCTGTAATTGCAAAAAAAAAAAAGAAGCAGTAGGGTGAACAAATTAGAGGTATTGATTACTACCTAATAGTGGTAGTGATTAAAAAGCAAACAAAAACAGTAGAGGCCACCTCATGAATAGGGACAACACTCTAAAGATATAAAGATATAATCCCATTGGCATTACATATTAAAGTGAAAATCAGTAGCATCCCAGGATGGAGAACATTGGGTTGGACTATTGTCATTGACACCTTATTTTCTGAATAGAAATGAAGGGGCACATACTGATTAAAGGAAAAAATGGTCACACAGATATGTTTGGACAGCCCTTATTCTGTTTAATGACTCTGTATTGTTTAGCTTTTTTCTAAAATGAATTTTGAATTCTTTTATTTTTACCAAAACACTCCATTACTTAAATGTCTTTCTAAAACCCTGTCTAAAATACCTGTGTGTTTGCTTTGGATTTCTGTAGACCTTATTGCATTAAACTTGTGATCCTCCTGCCTCTGCCTCTGAAATAATAAAATTTCAGGACCATAACACCAATGACACATAACTTTTGAAAAATGGAAATGGGCTTATCTCACATATATATTATTAATAACTGATCATTTTATTTTTTAATTGTTTTTATTGTATTGATTTACTTGTGTGTTGGTATATCTGTCTATGTGTGTACTACAGTGTACATGTGGAGGTCAGGAGACAGTTTGCAGGAGTTGGTTCTCTCCACCTTGTGGGTCCCTGGTATTGCCAGGTTGTAGTAGAGTACAACATTCTATCTATGCTAGTGGTGTTACCTGAACATCTGCCCAGGCTGTGACTTCAGGTTTTCCATAGTGGGAGTCCCTGCTCCACATCAACATCCTTGAAGCTATTGAAACAGCATCCTGGCCTCTGATGACTAGCAGAAGTTATTTGTAGTACAGCTGCAATCAGATCTGTAATTTTGGATATAATGAGGTTACTGTGCCTTCGTGTTTGTTTGTTTGTGACAGAGTCTCACTGTATAACCTAGGGTGGTCTGTACTAGGTAACCTAGGTTGTCTTCAGCATGAGATTCTTATTCCTTAGCCCCCCATCTATAGGGTTCTATGCATGTGATTATGTGGCGAAAACCTGCCCTAAATTCAGAAAGTCAGGTCTAGTTATATGATCCTGGTAGTACCCATCAATAAGGGGACTGTAGAGACAGCTTAGAGGTTATATGCACTACCTGCTCTTCTAGTACACCTAGGTACAGTTCCTGGTACCCACAAGACAGCTCTCAAACCATTTAAAACTCCAGTCCCATGGGATCTAATACCATTTTCTGGTCTCCTTGGGCACCAGACATTCAAGTGGTGTACAGACATATATTCAGGGAAAACCTATACACACAAAATAATAAAAATAAAATAATTTTAAGTTTCTAAGACCAAACTGGTTTTATGTAGTTTTTAGTGGATTGCTTTATTTTTCATATAAAAATGCAAAACCAAGCCAGATGTGATAGTCTACACCTATAATCATAGCACTCAAGAGACCAAGAAGGGTTACCTTAGTGCAGGGCTGGACAGCATGACCCTGTCTCAAAGAAAACAAAACAGAACTGGGAATATAACTCAGTAGAGTCCTCACTTAGCATGCATAGAGCCACTGGGTAAAGGGTACTGTAGTATTTGTATGTAATAACAATTTTAAAAATATGTAAAAAAAATGCATGCATATATAAGCTGCTGTGTTTATACTGGAAGAAGGGCTGCTATTCTGTAAGTCCTGCTCTTTTGCATCTTCTACTTAAAGGGCAGTGTGAGTCTACCCATGGTTTGAAACTTAATAGGCTACTAGATGGGTTGTTGTGGGGTTTTTTTTGGGTGGGGTGAATCCCTACATCTAGATTTTTGTTGTTGTTGTTTTGTTTTTCTTTTGGATCCCTGCATGAAATAGTATTTGAATTTTAAGAATGAACATATAAGTCATAAAAGATAATCTGTTTCTAAAATTGAACTCATTCTGTTTAAGGCCTCTTTAACTGTATTTCTATCCAAGCAAGAATAAATAAATTGCCACAAATGGGCCAATAGTAAGGATGCCTATGTTTTGGTCAGTTTAAAATGTCTACCTCTTACATACTAAAAAAGTAGTAATACTTGGTTTGACAAAATGGAACTAACACAACAGAGCAAAATTTTCAATTTGAGAATGCAGATGTGGGTCAGAAACATAGTAATAAGCATTGAGTCTTGCCCCCCGCCAAAGGTAGATAGATGTTCTACTGTAGTTTTTAGTTCCTTATTTTATGTCTCTGAGACACAGTTTTAGCCCAGCCTGTCCTTAGCCTTGGTCTTCCTGTATAGCAAAGGCTGGCCTTGAATTCCAGATTCTCCTTTCTTTACCTCCTAAATACTGGGATTATAGGCATGTACTACTACAGTCAGTTATTTTGTCTCTTTTTTAGTTCATAGTAAGCAATCAGTTATATTACAAAGGTCTCCAATTATCAGAATTAAAGAGATGAGAGTAGTAGTCAGCCAGCTTGCCTGCCTGACTTCCTTCTTTCTTCTCTTTCCTCCCCTCTAACTCATTCTCTCCTAGCTTTCTTTTTTTCTTTCCTATAAGATGGGGTCTTGCTTTTAGCCAACTGTGAATTCAAGGCCAGCCTGGTCTACAGAGCAAGTTCCATGACAACCAGGGCTATTACACTAGAATTCTTGCCTCAATTAAAAAAAAAAAAAAAAAGGTGGGGGGTTGTATATGAGTAGTTTGCCTGCATGTATGTCTGTGCAATTGTATGCAGTGTCTCAGGAGGCCAGAAGAGGGCACTGGATTTCCTGGGACTGGATTTAAAGACTGCTGTCTTTAAAGGGCATGGGGGTGCTCAGTGATAAGAGCACTGGCTACTCTTAAACAGAGGACCTGGTTCAATTCCCAGCGCCTATATGGCTGTTCACAACTGTCTGTAACTAAAGTTACAGGGGCTCTAGAGCCCTAACACAGACTTACATGGTGGCAAAACAGTAGTGCACTTAAAAATGACTGTTGTTAGCTAGAGCATGAGTGTTGGAAATCAAACCTCAGTCCCCTGAAAGAGCAGCTAGTGCTCCTATCCACTGTGCTATCTCTCCGGCTCTATGAGATTAATTTAAATTATTTATTTATTTTTGAGGGAGGGTCTTGCTGTATAGTTGAGGCTGGCTTACTGAAATCTTTGCTTTAGTCTATTAAGAGCTAGATTATAGTGGTGAACTATCATATTTGACTCTAGAATTGCTATTTACATTATTTACCGTAACTACATAGAAATAATTTTTTTAATGTATTGGGTTGTTTTTGTTGTTGTTTGTTTGTTCATTTATTTGTGTCATTTTTTTTCTTGTGGGTAGTTTCCAGGCAGGATTTCTCTGTGTAGCTTTGGTTGTCCCAGAACTTACTCTATAGACCAGGCTGGCCTTGAACTCACAGAGATTCACCTGTCTCTGCCTCCCAGAGTGCTGGGATTAAAGGCTGGTGCCACAGACCTGACTTTATATATTGGTTTTGTGTACTATAACATTGTTGAATTTGTTTATTGGCTTCTTCTGGATTTTGATACTTTCTCTTCTTTACATTATTTTTGCTGTTTTTGTTTTATTTTGCTTTGATTTTAGTTTTTAGTTTCTTTAGACCAGGATTAATAAATAGCTCAAGCTGTTCTATCTTTGTTTTTGTAGGTGCTGAAATTATAGGTGTGTGCTACCTCATCTGCTTTTCAGTTTTCCTTTTGATATTCCCATGGTGGTAGAGGATTAAGCCTACCATATGAGCAGTAGGTTTCAGATTAGGAATCCTAGATTCAGTGCTTTTTATTGGCTATAGGATTATTTTTGGTAGTTTTTGTTTTGTTTTGTTTACATTTAGCAATCGTCCTCTTTTAATTATGTTTTAAACATTTCTTGTGTGTTATGTACACATGCACACATGAGTATTTATGTAGTGATAAGCACTGTGCTTGCTATGGTCCATGTTTGAAGGTTAGAGGACAACGTCAGCTCTCAGATGTCAGTCCTTGCCTTCTATCTTGTTTAAGAGAGAGTTCCTGGCCACCACTTATGCCAAACTAGCTGGCCTATGGGCTTCTATCTCCCATTTTGCTAAAGCAGCACTGAAATTGCAGAAACACCTGACTTTTTTTTTTTTTTAATGGCTTTGGGGGTTCAAATTCAGGCCCCTCACGTTATGCAGCAAGCATTTTACCTAGTGAGCCATCTCCTCAGCCTTCCCATATTTAATTTTTAAGTTAACATAACAATAATAGGTTTCATTATGGCATTTTCATACAAAATTGTCATTTTGTTTGTTTTGGTTTTTTGAGACAGGATTTCTCCATGTAACAGCTTTAGCTGGCTTCAAACTTACAGAAATCCACCTGCTTCTGCTTCCTGAGTGCTGGGTTATTTTGTTTGTTTTAGAGACAATCTCACTAAGTAGCTTTGTCTGGCCTAGAACTTGCTATGTATACTAGGTGGTCTTGAACTGATCTGCTTGTCTCTGCCTCAGGAGTTCTGAGATTAAAGGTGTGTGCCAGTATGCTTGGTTTTTATTTTAGTTTAAAAATTATTTTTAAATTAAATTATTTTGAGTCATAATGTACATATAATGAAAAGCATGCAAAAAAGCATAAAAAGGACTATCAAGCTCAGTGAGTAAAGGCACTTGCTGCAAGCCTGATGAACTGAGTTTGATCCTAAGGACCTGAGTGCTAAAAGGAAAGAGCTAACTCCAACAAGATGTCCTCTGATCTCCACACATGTACCCTGGCATGTATATACACTCACACAAACTGAATGAATGTAATATTTTTACACCAAAAATATTTGTGTGTGTGCTCATGTGCGTATGAATCATGTATATATACACACAAAACATTTTACCTGGATTTCCTTCTCTAAAGACACTGAGCTCATTCTCAATGTGTTATAGTTATAAACCCTAGAATTATGTCAATCATTTTGTGAACCGCATAATAACATTGTTTTAATCATTGTTTTTTTTTTTTTTTTTTTTTTCAGTTTTGATGAAGCAAGAACAGAGAGAAGATACTGACTTGTCTTCAGTTCCATCCTTACCTGTGGCTCATTCTGCCCAGACCCAGAGGCCTTCCTCAGTTACAGGGCACCCACATGACAGTGTGTTGTCAGCATCGAGAAGCTTGATTTGTCCAGTCCAGCCAGCATATGCATCTATGATAACCTCATCCCATTTGCCACAGTTGCAGTGTGGGGATGAGGGTGCTGGTAAAGAACACATGATACCATCTTCAGTCATGCACCAGCCTTTTCAAGTTACATCCACATCTCCTATGGGGTCTTCCTATCAGTCTGTACAAACTAATGTGTATAATGGACCAACTTGTCTTCCCATGAATCCTGCTTCTAGCCAAGAGTTTGATCCAGTTTTATTTCAGCAGGATGCAGCTCTTTCTAGTTTAGTAAACCTTGGCTGTCAACCACTATCACCAATACCATTTCATTCTTCAACTTCAGATGCAACAGGACATCTCTTAGCACATTCACCTCATTCTGTGCAAACCCCACCTCATCTACAGTCAATGGGATACCATTGTTCAAACACAGGACAAAGATCTCTTTCTTCTCCTGTGGCAGACCAGGTCACAGGTCAGCCTTCTTCTCATTTACAACCTATTACATACTGTCCATCACATCCAGGACCTGCTACAGTAGCTTCCCCAGCAGCCTCTCATCCCCTGGCTAGTTCACCGATTTCTGGGCCATCATCCTCTCAGCTGCAGTCTATGCCTTATCAATCTCCTAGCTCAGGAACTGCCTCATCACCATCTCCAGCTACCAGAGTGCATTCTGAACAGCACTCAACTCAAGCACAGAGTACAGGCCAAGAAGGTCTTTCTGCACTTTCAACCTTAGTATGTCACAGTTTGTGTGACCCAGCATCATTTCCATCTGGTGGGGCAGCTGTGAGCATTAAACCTGAACCTGAAGATCAGGAACCTAACTTTGCAACCATTGGTCTACAGGATATCACTTTAGATGATGGTAAGTCTCATCATCCCCATTCCCACTTACTCTATGTATGTGTGTGCATTTGTATTTGAGTTAGTCTGGCCTTGAACTCATTGTATAGTGGAGGGTGACCTCAAACTAATGCTAAGATACACGAATGTACCACCAGACCCGTGTACTAGGGATTGAACTTCAAAGCTATGTGGTGGTGGTGGTGGTGGTGGTGGTGGGAGTTCTTGCAGAATTGGAATTCAATGTATAGCTCAGGCTAACTATATGGTAATCTTCTCAGCCTCCCCAGTGCTAAAGTGACAGGAATGAGGCATCATATATGTTACTGGAAATACCATATACAGTTAGCTGTAACTGTCAAGTAATGAAAATCCTAAAGATCCTGAAGTTAGATATGTAATTTTAGTTTTTTCTCTAATTCTACATTAATCTGTTATCTGTTTGAAGAGACACTAAAGCTATCTTTATTGGAAAAACTGCCACTAAATGTCAAGTCATAGGGTTAAGAACACTTGCTTTTATCAAGTCAGAGTTTGATTCCCAGCATTCATATGGAAGTTCATAACCTGAACTCTAGTCCCAGAGGATCCAATGCCTTCTTTGTTTTCATGCTACTACATGTGGTACACAGACATACATTCAGGCAAAACATAAAATAAAGAAAAACAAAAACCCATTTAAATGTGAAGTCCTAAGTATAAAGATCAAAAAAGACAAATAATATGTAACCTGTAAGCTTCTGGGTCTTCTATTCTAGATACACCGAATACCTGATTAATCATCTATATAATGCAGGCAGTCACAATTACTATAACCAAAGTATAAAAGATTCATATAGGAAGGTTAGTAGGAATATATGATAGATTTTGTTGAAAGGATTTGGCAAGGCTTCCATGAGTCAGTGATATTTGAGTGAGTATTGGAAGATGACTATATGTTTTCTGTAAATTTGAATCAATGGGCAACTCAGACAGTAAAAGCAGAGAGATTTGCCAGGGAGAACATGGCCTTGAATAGAGATCCACCTGCTTTTCTTCCCAAGTACTAGGATAAAAAGTGTGCACTACCATTCTTGGCCTGTTTGTCTGCTCTGGAGATGTAATTTTTCTTAAGCCTTTCTATGATTTCAAGGCCAGCCTGGTTTACAGGGTGAGTTCTAGGATAGCCAGGGCTTTACAGAGAAACCCTGTTTTGTTTAAAAAAAAAAAAAAAAAAACAACAAACAAACAAAAAAATCTAAAAAATAAAACAAAAAATACTTTCTGTGTTTTATGCTTTATATGCTACAGATTTTAGAGCATGGTATTTGTTAAAACATGATTTTTTAAAAATATATTTTAAATTTATTTACCTATTTTTATTACATATGCAGTGTTCTATCTACATATCTGCCTGCAGGCCAGAATAGGTTGCCAGATCTCATTATAGATGGTTGTCAGCCGCCATGTGGTTGCTGGGAATTGAACTCAGGACCTCTGGAAGAGCAGTCAGCACTCTTAACTACTGAGCCATCTCTCCACCCCCAAAACATGATTTTTGTAACATATAGAAATAATAACAGTTCTGATTTACACTTTTAAATTAAGATTATGGTATTGTATAACTACACTAGTTGTTTCAGAGCTTTAATTTGTGATTGGGCTAACTAAATTCTATGACAACTTTCCATTAGAATGTTCCTCCTACTTGTTTTCCTTTATTAGACTAGTAGTGCAGCTCTTCCATCAGAGAAGAGCATTTGTGTTTAATGTAGTTCAGCCTGCTGCTATGATGAGAACTGACACTGCCCTTGCTGTCTCTATGCAGCAACATACTAATCCTGAATGTAGGTCAGTCACTGAAGTTAACAGTCTGGATGTCACCTCAGCTGCTTCAGTGCTGTATGTTAGTGTTAACAAGTAGGTGCTTGTGGGTTGTTTCCTTGTTTTTTAAATGTAGAGCCTTGAGTTAGCCCAGCTTTACCTTGAACTCATAACCCTCCTACCTCTGGCTCCCAAATGCTGGAATTATAGATGTCTGCTACAATGCCTGGCTTGCCAGATACCTTTTAAAAGCAAAGGAATAATAAACACAAGGTTCACATGTGCTGGCTGGTTTTGTGTGGCAATTTGACACAAAGCCAGAGTCATCAGGAAGGAGCCTCAGTTGAGAAAATGCTGTAAGACTTTTTCTCAATTAGTGATCAATGGGAAAGAGCCCAGCCCATGGTAAGTGGGGCCATCCCTGTGTGAGTGGTCCTGGGTTCTATAAGAAATCAGGCTGAGCAAGACATGGGAAGCAAGCCAGTAAGCAGCACCACTTTGTAGCCTCTGCATCAGCTCCTGCCTCTGGGATCCTGTCCTGTTTGATTGAGTTCTTGTCCTGACTCCCTTCAGTGATGAACAGCAATGTGGAAGTGTAAACCTAATAAAATGATTCCTCTCCAACTTTCTTTTTGGTCATGGTGTTCCATCACAGCAGTAGAAACCCTGAGACAACAGGGTCCTTGACTGGGGTGTAGGAAACTATTATGGAGAATAACACTACATCAGTGTTTTGGTGCATTTATTGGATAGTGATTACACTAGTGTTTATTGTATTTACATAAATATTTTATTACATTTTATTTTGTGTGTATGTGTGTGTCAGGAGACTCCCTGGAAATGATTGTAGAGGTCAGAGACAACTTATAGGAGTCAGTTTTATTTTTTCAACCATATGGTTTCTAGGAATCAAATTCAGTAACTGAGCTTGGTGGCAGGTATCTTTAACTTCTGAGCCTTTTTTTTTTGGTTTTTCAGGACAGGGTTTCTCTGTGTAACAACCCTGGCTATCCTGGAACTCACTCTGTAAACCAGACTTGCTTATAACTCAGAGATCCATATGCCTTTGTCTCCCAAGTGCTGGAATTAAAGGACTGAACCACCACTGCTTAGCCCCTTCTGTGCCATCTTGCTGGCCCTAGGTAATTATATTTAAATAATAAAGGAAGCCACTGGGTCATCAATAAGATTTGTCATTACTCCATTTATAGGTCCTAGGAATATAGGAAGTTAGATAATACTGAGCCTTTTCTTTAACTGGAATACTGGGACCTCTTGTGGAATACATATATGTATCATCAGCCTTCAAACATTTATTATGATGAAGAATTTCAAAAGTTGGAAATACTAATAAAGAATGCTTATGTAGTCTGGTGGTAGTGGTACACAACTTAATTCTCAGCACTCAGGGAGGCAGAGGCAGGCAAATCTCTGTGAGTTCCAGGACAGCTAGGGCTGTTACACAGTGAAACCCTGTCTTGAAAAACAACAAAAACAAAACAAAACCAAATGCTTATGATGTAGACTTGGATTGTTGCAAAGGATTCAGAACCTTAAGCCACTACCACCCTAGGATATGTAGTAAAAGAAAATTAGTTTCAGCTAGGTGTGGTGATGCATGACTTTAACCCCGGCGTTTGGGAGGCAGAGGCAGAAGGATATCTACCAGTCTGGTTTATACATAGTGAGTTCCAGGACAGCCAGGGCTACAAAATAAAGAGACCCTGTCTTAAATGGGAAGAAAAGTATTAAGGCATCGGTACTGGCCTGTCCTTGGTTCTGACAGGATACTTCCTTAGCTGTAGCCGCTAGGAGTGCCTCCTGTGCACATTCACTAAGTTCCCTTATAAAAGGGTTCTTCCTACCTCTTTTTACTTTCCCTCTCCCTGTCCCATCTCCCTTCTTCCCTTTCTCTCCACTCCCCCCCCCCACCTCTCCTCTCTCCTGTTGCTCCTGTCCCCAGAGGCAAGTTTTCCCCCTACCCTCCTCCCTTCCTTATTCCCTTCCCCCCCACATCTAGAAATGGACCTGACTAAATTGGCAAGGGAATGAAAAGACAGATGCATAGAAAAGCTAAGATTGGATGGACTGGTCTTTCTGATTGAGAAGCCTCAGTACCCCTGAAGCTCATTTTGTTTATTATACTATATAATACATGTACATGTGTATTATATTATACATTTAAGTAGAGAGGCAGCATTATTGCACAGTGCTGATCAAGGAGGCAGGATTTATGGAATATAGCTGAATCAAGGAGACAAGTTTAGCTAATCCTAGTGTAACAGTACAGCCCATAAATATTGGGTGGAGAAAGCTATTTTTCTGCTCACATTACCAACTGTTTTCTGTAGACATCACCATCTACAGTGGGCCACAGGAAGGCTTTGCCATCCTTCTGAGCCTGGGTCTGAGGGCTATGGTCCTTGACATGGCCATGCCCACGGCAACACTACACATTCACAAAGGACTTTATTCACTCAGGGCTTTGTCTGCTCCCCATATTTTTCCCTTATTTTTTAGATGTTCAGAATGGATCTTAATACTTAGTCCAGTTTACTGTAATGCTTAATGCCAGATTATAAGGATGATTAAGAAGGAAGCTCATGACAGCTGCAGTGCTCCCCCCCCAAAAAAAAGAATGTTTTAATAAGTATAAAGGATTGAAGTCTTGAAGACTATTAAGGATAAGTTTTGCAATATTAGCAGGAGAAACCAATCTGATCATAAATAAACCTTTCGCTTTTCTAGGATGTGCCAACATAATTGACCTCACCTTCCCTATTATTATGATGAGTCCAAGTACTCATTAAATGAATACCAACTAATTCTGTTTCCTAATTTGCAGGGTTGGAGTCCACCCCAAGTAATTGAATGGAGCTTATTGGGACTCCAGGTGATTAGAGCAGTACCCTCAAAAACAGAGGGACTCAATATAAACAGGTTCAGGAGGATGTGACCAAACCCCCTGGATGAAAAAGCATAGGACCACTAGACTCCTCCCCTAACTGATCCTACTTGCATGGATGCCAGATGCAAAGCATGCAGTGTTTAAAGTCTTCAAGAGTTTTCCCTTTGGATGCTGGGCAGTGGTATTGCACACCTTTAATACTAGCACTAGGGAGCCAGAGGCAGGTAGTTCTCCCAAGTTCCAGGACAGCTGGAGTTACTCAGAGAAACTCTGTCCAGGAAGGGAGGGAGGGAGGGAGGAGTGAGGGAGGG